AAAATTTAAATAGGCTTTGATGCATTAAATTTTTGACACTACTTCGTAAAGAGACGCATGATGAATTTCTTGAGGAGAAAATGAGTCTAGAAAATTTTGAAGCGCTCGTAGCTCTTCCCTAGTTTTCTGCAGATCTAGAATATGATATTAATTTCGATTTAAGTTTCATTTTTGTCACTCAAATCTTCAAAACACTATACGAAGAGCAATATTTCATATTATATATGAACTCGCCCCTTTGGAGTATAAATAGAGTATATTTTGTGAAAAAAATCTCTCTCAAAAAAAGTGCGGTGGTTTCGAATATTCTCGACATCATAATTGCTTGAAAAATTATAAGTCTCTTTTAGTTGGCTTTAAGATAAATGATTTCTTCATGTTTATTTTATAGTGTTATGATAAAGACTTATTGTTATTTGCACGTTAACCGACATATTTTGATTATCGACTATAGTTTGTAGTATTAATCTTCTAGTTTCAGAAGCACATCTCCTTATCCTTAGCAATTATTATGATCCAACTCCAATATATTAGAATAATATTAGTTTCGTTTCAAAAGCAAAACTAAATTGTAATTTGAAATATTCATGTACAATCGTTCTTTTGAGAACATTTTTTCAACGTTTTTCCTTCACCAAAAGTGACTATTGATAATAAAAAACAAAAAAAGAATATTAGTATTTAACGAATCGTATTCTTCATATAGAAAAGGAAAATCGTTACTATTTTTTGTATATGTCATTAATAACTTTCCACGAAAAAAAAGAATAATCGATTAACGAATTGTATAACTATTTGAAAGTTGATTCATTGATAAAAAAACATTGAACGATCTCTGTTAGTGAAAATGGATGATGAATTACCATCTGAATCAACACGACGTTCATCTTCTCATTCTACTGTTCGATCAAGTGGCAAAACATATAATTCGAATTCATCAATTACTCCATCATCAATTAAAACAAAGAATAAGTCTAAATTAGCAACCTTGAAAAATACTACAATTAAAGTAAAATCTCCAATTGTTCGTCAAAAAAGTGGTTTAAAGAAGAAACGTCATTCATTGACAACAGGAAAAAAAAGAACTGCTTTACATTCAACACCAAAGAAAAAGCTATCTGAAACAATTTTACAGAATTTGATCAGTTCAGATGATGAAATTCAAATGGATTATGGTAAACAATTAACAACTTGGCCTGATTCAAACTTACCAGTAACAACTCCAATCAATGTTAAGACTGAAGAAAATACAAATAATCATGATGATTCATTTGATAGTAGTCAAAGAATTGACATTGAACCAGATCAAACAAAGAAGAAACAAAGAAGAAACAAAGAAAAATCAACCATCAAATCAAAACAAGATGTCTTGAAATATTTCATCATTTTATCTACCGGTGAACTTAAATGTAAACTGTGTAAAGATTCCTCGAAAGTAAGTATACCTTTTTGTTTCATTATATATATATATATTTTCGAGTTGGTTCTCTGGTCTTTACAGTGTTTATTGTTTATTACCAAGAACTTAAATAATTTTCATAGCCTCCATCTCTTTTTTTTAATTTTGCAAATAATTTTTTGTTAACATATACTTTTTTATGATTTTATTGTTTTAATTTTTCCTTGATGAATATATTGGTACGCAATATCACATGCAACTAAATCAATAAGGAAAGTCTCTCAGAATGAATAATTTGTATACGAGTTTATTTGACTCCTATACTTCGGCATTATGTACAGCTTTAATTAATTTCAGCATTCCATATTCTTTCTTCTTAAGCAAGATACATACTTCGAAATTTAACGTTTAAATTTTATGGTGTTAGAATCGCACCGTCTTGTCAACACATTCATCATGGTATTGATACTTCTATCATGAAACTTTATTATTTATTCTTGTAGAATTCTTCATATACTTGCCGGCTTCCACCAATAGTACCAAAAGACATGGAAAAGAACTACTCTTGTTGCATTCTATTATCCATCAGCTAAAAGAGTAGTTCCTACATAGTCATATGGAAGAGTTCCAAAACCAAATTGACATAAACTAGTCTTTCATGAAAAGTCTATTGAAATAACATTATCTTTATTTTTGTAACTAATACTTTTTAACCTTATGCACAGCTTTTTCGTGAATTCAGTTATTACGTCAATTTTTATAGTTGACTCAACAAACTTTAATCAATCAAAAATTAATATCAGAGAATGATGACAATCAATTGACGTTGGTTAATTGTTTAAAAAAGATTTCAAAATTTTGAAACAACTAAAGCCTTTCTTCAAGACTGAAAAATCTGCTGTCAATAGTTTTGGATCATTGTCATTGTGCCTTTTAGTTCAAACTACATTACCTGTCATCTGATTGCTAACATATATTAGAAACGGTAGATTTAAAAGTCAGTTTTTGTGGATATAAATTTCAAACAAAGAGTCAACTTAGACTGTCGTCTTTACAAGAAAATGCTTATTGTTAGTTCTAACAAATAATACTAAACTATGAGTTCCATATAGTTCTTTGCACTTTTTCCTTTTATGATGAAAAAGTACTTTGTCCCAGGCATACTGAGCAAAATCCAGTCTCTTAGATTACCAGTAATTTTATTTCATATATATAATAATTAGAGAATAGTACTTCTCATATCATCTATCAAAGGCTTAGTCGACTGTCATATTAGTTTTCAATTCGATTTTTAAAATCTTGTTGCTCAGTGTGTTGGCAAAATGGTAGACATTCTAAATCACTTGGATTTTATGACAGCTCGCATCTCTACAATGAATTCAGCTAGATTTCTCCTATACAATAAGATACCACTACTTATTATAATGATACGTTGATGCTATAAGCACTGATTATCGGTTGAGACATTTATTTGCTTCGGTCATTTTGCGGTAAATGTTTAATTCATATTCCAGGCACAATGTATACAAGAGTTTTTAAAACTCAATGTTTCAAATATTTTTAAGCGCTTTTTCTATGGTTAGGTTCTCTTTTCATAGCCTGGTTCACATTGATTACAAAAATCAATTTCATCTGTACAAGTATGATATATTATTGGAGTACAATTATCTTTTATAAATAACAAGTTTCTATAGAAACTTAATTTCTATTCTGTAATTTTGTTTCAAAAACCTTCGAAAGCGTCAAATTTATATTTTTATAAGTGGATCTAGGTAGTACATTGAATGATTACAAAATAGAGTTCTTCCAAATTCAATTATTGCCTTACTCTTTTCTCAAAAGGACGACCACAAGAAATAGCTAGTTTTTTCATGTATGGGCAAAATCAGGCAGAGCAGGACATTTTGGGTGATTTTTAAAACTCAAAGCCAACTTACGAAACTATAATAGAGTATTAGTCTATTGTCTCTAGTTTATGAAACCAATGTTCAGTTTTCATTTGTAGCGTTCTAGATAGTAGAAAGATCTTATGTACTAAGAGTACTGTCACATCATGAAATTCAATATACTTTTATCAAGAGAAAAGATAGTCATTCTTACGCAAACTAAAAGCATATAAAAAGTTGGTTCTGCAGGAAACGATAATTCTTTCAATACTGTTTCTAACCATTCACATATAAAAAATCACAGTTCATCTGTTTTGAAAATAATTGAACTATTTAAACTTTCATTATCTATGTCACGTCGCTAATGAAATTTTACATCAACTTTTTTTTCTCCTGAGGTATTCGTTAGGCAAGTTTCAAGCTATAGACGTAAACATAGTTTCATACGCCAAGTAAGAATATGGTGTATTTCTTTTCTTCCTATTCTGTTTGTTGAAAGTATATAATTAGTCGAAATGAGTCACGTCGCCAACGATCTTTTACGATAATTACGAATTCATAAAGAAACATCACGTGGATGAAACTGTCTAAACATATAATAGTGATTTTTTTATTTGAACGTGAACAATAATGCCACTATCGTCCACTGAACGGTTTCGAATATTTAAAGCCAAATTAAAACTCGACAAAAATAAATCTGCACTACAAAAATTTCGAGAAAAAGATGCTGCTTATCATCGAAAAAGTCGTCGAATAGTTAAACAAGATCCTGTAAAAATGGAACAAATTCGTGAGCAAAATCGAATACGACAAGGCAGACGTCGACAGAAACTGAAATCTGGAAAAATTTCATTTACAATTTGAACAGCTATGTTCATTATCAACTTCTGCCACACCAAAATCTTCATATAAATCTATTCAAAGCTTTTCAAAAGCTGTTCACCGTTCCGAGCGTGGTCTTCCAAATAGTCCAACAAAAAAAAAAGGAAATTATTCAACATTTAGCCCTTAAACATGGTATTATTCCAAATTCTGTAGAACAAACAACACTAAATTCTGTAGTACAGACAACACCAAATTCTGTAGCACAAACAACATCAAATTCTGCAGCACAGACAACACCAAATTCTGTAGTACAAACAAAATCAAATTCTGTAGTTAAAACAAAATCAAATCCTGTTGTACAAGCAAAATCAAATTCGATTTCTGATCTTACAAAAAATAATGTTATTCAATTTTATGAATTAAATGAAATTAGCAATGTTGCTCCTGGAAAGAAGGATGTAATGGTCATCCAATCATATGATGGCTCAAAAGTTAAAGTGCAAAAACGACATCTTGTTATGACAGTCAGAGAAGTTTATGAACAATTCAAAATTTCTTATCCAAATGAAAAAATTGGTTCAACATCCTTCAGTTTACTTCGTCCAAAGCATATTTTACCCATATGTGACATTCCACAAAATGTTTGCCTTTGCAAGTACCACGCAAATGTTGATTTATTATTGTCATCATTAAATCCAATATTGAATACACCAAGAACCACATCACTTTTTCGTGAAGCGCTGGTTTGCAATAGTGAAGATGAAGAATGCATGTCATCAAAATGCAATAATTGTGGTAATTTAAAAAATTTTGATAAATTGTTCGAATGCGATGATGAAACACGTAAAAAAGATTTAACTTATTTTCAATGGAAGACAAATGATTCGAAAATATTAAAAATGGAACAATTTGGTACTGTTCAAAATGCCATTAATGAATTAAAAAATCAAACTTATAATTTTTTAATCCATAGCTTTATTACTCATGTTCAATATGCACATTTTGAAGAATGCAAAAACAATGCAACACGATCATCAATTGTATTACAAATCGATTTTTCCGAAAATTATCGTACAGCCTATCAAAATGAAATTCAAAATGCTTTTTTTAATTATAATCAAGTTAGTTTATTTAATGCAGTGGTGTGGCCTGGACGTAATTCTGAAGTTTTAAATTATACATTAGTATCGGATGATGTATCTCATGATAAGTACTCAATTCATGTTTGCTTAAGTGAGATCTTCACAGATCTTAAAAAAAGATTTTCTTCATTGAAAACTGTAAACATCTTTTCTGATGGTGCATCATCACAGTTTAAGCAAAGATATTCATTTGCAAATTTAACATTTCTATCAAATGATTATAATATTGATTTAACCCTAGTACTACCAGCCTGGGTCATTTTTGACCCGTACTCAAAAATTTGAAAATGCACCAGCGATTTTTTTTTATCTCATAGTTTCCGGAAGCAACTAGTATTTCTTATGAATTGATATATATTGCTGCTATAAATTCTCTGACCACACAGAAGTCGAAAACCCTCCATGAAATCGAAATAAAAGATATCCACGTCGAGTATTCGTAGAAGAATTAAAACTAACAAGGGAACTTTCCCAACTGATTCTAAGCTTTCGGTTTCATCTTTTGGTT